CCAGGCTTGGCTGGGAGGAAGCTGGGATTGTGTGCTGTTCCCTGCCTTCAGGCCCCCGGACCTTGCTCTACCTGGGAAAGGATACCTTCCAGGGGCTCTTGGTATCAGTCTTGATTTGGATTCTTTGAAAGCCAAGAAGTTCTTCCTTGTATCTGACCTGAGTCTTCGCTGCTCTCTGTTTCAACTCAAAGCAATTGCTTGGTTTTCACGTCTTTTTTCTTTTTTTTCAAGTCGCAAAACACATTACCCAAACCACATCTTACATAAAACTCAAATCTATAAGCCTGCTCGTGGAGCTGCTATGTGTGGCTGAGGGTGGGGCTGGCCTCCCACACTGCCAGGCTCAGCCCCCTCTGGATGTAAAGCCCTGGGGCATCCCGGGCACAGTCTGAAAAACACTGGTTGACTCAGGGATCAACATGCCCCTCTGTGGGCTCAGCCCTGTCTGGAGCAAGACGGTGGAGACCCCCGAGGAAAGCAGATGGGAGGTCTGCCTGCAGGGAGCTGCTGGTCCTGTGGGCAAGGCCACCACCCGAGGCAGGATGCAAGGACAAAGAGCAGGGAGGCTTCGCCCCCTCCTGCTGAGGACTTGGTGTGTGATGCTGAGAAAGTAGCTACCCCTCTCTGGGCCCCAGGTTCCCTATGAACCATGGGGAGATGGGTCTGGGGTGCGGAGCCTCTGCAGTAAGGTCTGGGACGGGAGGCAGCCTCACTGACCCAGCGCGTGGCTAAAGCCACGAGAGAGACACACTGACGTGGGTAGGCGCAAGCAGGGGCGGAGGCCTGGCTAAGGGGCCTCAGAGCCGGCACAGCTGGCTCGTCTGCAGGTTGGGAGCGGCTGGGGGCGGGCAGGAGCGGAGCGGGAGGAAGGAAAGGTCAACAGGATAGGCACTGTCCGGAGCTCGGGGAGCCGTGCCACCAGGCCACCTCGATGGCAGCCCTCAGTGCCACTGCCCTGCACTGCCCTAGGACGAACGTGGCTTCATTTGCTACCCCAGCCGTCGAAGGGGGTGGGGGACTTTCCTGAAGAGGATTTGCTTCTGCTGTGACAAAGGAGGGAGGGTCGGAGAGGTGGGGTATGGGGACACAGGAGCAGAGTTCTGGGGTCCTCGGGGAGCTGTCTCGCCCCTGAAGACCTGTCTCTCCCCCCTGCTGCGGGGGCCTGGACCCACCTAGCCCCATGTGGGCTGTTGTTGAGGGGAGTGATAACACTGTGGCCTGTGTGCCCGGAGAGGGACCGAGCCCAGTCCCTGCATTTCTCTGAGCCTCAGTTTCCTCATCTCTAAAATGGGAACGTTCCCTGACTTGCAGGGCTGCTGTGAGGCTACGCAGGACACGGGTAGCACCCCCCCCCCCCACCGTGGGATGTCTCTGGAGGTGAGGGCCCAATTAGAAGACAGCTCTACCCTCTCCCCTGTTTGGAATGATGCGCCCCTCTGAGAAGCGAGAGAGCTAGGCGCCTCTACCCCAGAAAGAATCCAAGTACGAAATTGTTCAAACTCAGTTTGTTCCAAAATCACTCATCTACATTCAGTAATAATGATAACGTGGCACTTTGGAAACCCACCCGAAGCTTGCACCTGGAGAGAGTCTTAACTCTAGAAAGCTCTACAGAACTGGGCACATGCCGGGGCAGGGGGCATGTTGGGGGCCAGCAAGGAGCTGGGTGGGGTCCGGAGTTGGGGGAGAGGTTATGAAGGAGCAGAGGGACCAGGAGGGGAGCAGGCCAAAGTCTGAAGGCCCCTTGTTTGATTGCTCCTGGTACTGAACAGGAGCCGCAGAACAGCCGGGTAGCCCCTGCGCCCATCCTGCCCACCTCCTTCTCCTGGGCCCCACCCAGCCCAGGTCTGTGAGCGCGGCCGGCTGTGGACAGAGCTGTTCATACTCGTGTGCACACCCACATCTGTGTGCGCCAGTGAGTGTGTACGTCAGGGCTATTTCCAACTCCCCCTCCCCTGCCTGCCCCCTCCTGGGCAGCACGCCCAGTTCCCAGAAGCAGCCTATACACTTCCTCTGAGAGCTCCATGCACAGCCCGCTCCCCTCCTGCCATCACTGCCCGCTGCCTGGCCCACCTGGCAGCCCCCTCCACAGCCCCCAGGCGGACAGCACTGAAAGACTCTCCTTGTCCTGCCCCGGAGGGCAGGCGGACCTCGGGTGGGGGCAGGCTCAGTTATACTTGGTTTTTGAACAACTTTTCCAGAGCCTGGGTGGGCCGGGCCAAGGGGCTGGCCTCTGCCCTGCTCCAGAGGCCCCGGGGCAGTGCGCACGGACGCAAACACACACGTCTCCAGCACCATTGTTCCCCAGAGGATCCCTAGAGGCAGAAGAATCTACTCCGACTCAACTCCTTGCACTTGATGGCTCCATGGTCCTGTTCTCTAAAACACCCCGTCAGGTCAGAGTCCTCACCTGGGTAATGCAGGAGTCCTCCCTTCGGGGTACTCCTGCCCCACCCTCAGTCCTACTTCAACCACCCACCTTTAGCGGGTGCCAGGCCAGGTAAGAGGTATGGGAGCCACTGGTCCTGCAGGCTCTGTGCTCACTCTGACCTCTCAGTTTTACTCATGCTGTTCCCCTGACTGGAATACCAAGTCCACATCAGCTCAAACCCAGTCTCCCCCACTGCCGAACGCCTCCCACGGGGCTCAGAAGGAGCTAGACCCCGCACTGGCAGAGTGGCCCTAGCCTAAGCTCCCACACAGGCGGAGCACTCCCTCAAAGCAGGGCTGGGGGCTCTTCCTGCGCTGCTGCACTTCTCTGTGGGACCTAGAGCACTTTGCTTCCTCCCTGGGGTCTCAGTTTCCCAGTCTGTACAACTAGAAGCTTGGCCCAGATGGTCTCCAAGGGTGCTTGACTCTCAGGCCTCATGACCTAGATGTCCCGGAATGTTGATGAATGCAGGGAAAGTGTCCCAGGGCGCCTCACTCTGGTACCTGAGACCTCGAGGGCCTTTGGGGCTCAGGGTGTCCAGGAGGGATGGGAATGATGCCTTCCTCAGGTATGGGCTGACCCTCTGCAGAGACCAGGAGAGGGTGCTGAGCCAGGCTTGGTGACAGAGATGGATTGTTGAAGGGGAACTCTGCCTGGGAGGGGGAGAAGATTCTAGCTCTCCAACCCCCTCCCATTTCCAAATTCTTCCTACAGGCAGAGATTGGCTTAACATTATAAAACCCCACCACTGCCATGCTACACGCCTGCCTTAAAATCTTCGTTGGCTCCCCATTGCCAACAGGGCATAGGCTGTGGGCTGTATTCTGCCATTTAAGGATTCTGTGCCCCAGCCCAATGGCTCTTCCTGGCTGGTGCTCAAAATATGCCTTCTAACCAGGCTGCTGGTCTTCCTGTCTCAACATGCTTTTCTCACATCCACCTCAGTGCCTTTGCTCAGGCTGAGCTCCTGCCTAGAGTACTGACCCCCTTCCCATCCTCCAAAGCTTGGCTCCAGGATCACCTCTGGCCTGCCCCAGCTTGCCTGGCAATTTCTCTTCACCATATTCTTCATCTGGATCTTTGCAGACATGATAGGAATTGCTGTTTGAGTTTTAATTTACTTTTCTGCCTTCTGAATGAGTTCAAGTTCAGCCCATCCATTTCTGTGTACTCCTTATTGCCCAGCACAATGCTTGCACATTTTTGATACTGAGAAGGTATTTGAGGATGGCTCTCAGTCGAAGGCCAAGGAGATGGGGGTGCTAGACTCTCTTGGCTGGAGGCTTCAGGCTGGATAAGCCGCCCACTCCAGTCACCCCAGATGGCCCTTTCACACCTCTCCAGAGGCCCAGCCCATCACCGGGGCCCTGAGACTTTGAAGGAGGGGGTCCCTGGGAATAGGAGCAGAGAGCCTGGGGATCCAGCTCTGACTCACCCCAGTGGGGGGTCCTCCCCTGACTCATTTCCCTCTGGGTGCCTCATGATGCTGTCCATTAGAGCAGGCTTCCCCATCTGATGGGGAGGAGGGTGTGGCCTGGGCCCCTGGAAGGGAGAATCAGCCTCTTCCACTGCTCAGAGCTGCTTTTGGGAATGGTCCCGAACGATGCAGGCTGAAGCACTGATTCATACATGGGTAGTAATGACTGATGGGCCCTGAGGCCATGGTTCTTATGGCATAACTAGACCATGCCTTGACTCAAGGAAGAATGCCGTCATGGTAGGATTTCTGGCATGTAACAGAGAGGAGATGCATCCTAGTGCCCCTCAGAAGGTGAACTGTCACTCAGTCTCTGCTGGGGTCAAGCACCAAAGCCCGGGAGAGGGAAATGTGGCGGGGTTGCCCAGGGTTGTCTGGGGGACAGGCCCCTGTGGGGCTGTGGGGTATCTGAAGGGAGGCTGAGGAGTGGGTGGTCCCATCTGTCACTAACCAGGCCTTCTGAGTTAGGAGAGGGGGGTGAGGAGATAGGAGCTAGAGAGGAAGGCAGGAGGCAGTTGGTGGTGAAGAGGCTGTACAAGTTTACCCGGGGGCAAGGAAGGGGGCCGGAACTGTTGGAGGAGGCTGCAGGCTGTGGAGGCTGAGGCACATGTGGGGCCCCATACAGGGTGGGGCAGGGCGGCCCCCTCCCCATTTCTCGCCTTGCAGCGCAAGCCCCGTTCCTGGCCTGGGCCGCGGAGGCCGGAGTACTGGCTTCTGGCTGTCACGGAGTGTCCTTTGGGACCAGTGCAGTCACCAAAAGCCTGCTGGGCTCAGGGGGCCCAGACAGCATTGGGTGGCCCCACTGGTTTAGCGGACAGTCCTGCACAAAGCCACACCCTAGACAATCTGACTGGGGCCACACTCAAATAGCCAGAGCCCACAGAAGCCCCAAGCTGGAGAGCTCTCACTGGGGATCCTGCTTCGACCCCAGAGTGGAACTCCCAGAGAGCCCAGCCTGGAGCAGAAGTGCAGCCCCCTTGTCTCCCAGTCTGGGGGTGACTTCTGGGCCCTCCTGTCCCATTTTTCTACCCAAGGAGCCCCCCCCCCCCCCCCAGCTCCGGCCAGGCCGGTGGTCTCGGGCACCTTACTCACCTGCGGATGAGAATCTGGCCAACATAGCCAAGGTCAAAGCCAGGGCCAGGGCAGGGGCCGGAGGCACAGGCTGCTGGCCCGAGCGCATCGCGGTGGGCTGTGCTGCGGGATTTTCGAGGAGACAAGCAGAGTCCGAGCCTGGACACCAGAGGAAAGGCGGGAGCTGAGAGAAGCCTGGAAGGCTGGCTCAACTGCCTCCGGCTGGGGCTCTGGAGCCGCCTCACTTAGCTCTGGGGGCGGGGCAGGCGCCAGCCCTCTCCGGTTTCAGGACAGGGCTCCCCCGTTGGCCCCCCTCACCCCCAACTTTCTTAAAGGGCCCGTGCTGGGCTGCTCCTCCCCGTGCAGGGCTGAGGAGACCTTTACAGCTCTGTTAGACCCAGGCCCCGCCCTGCAGATTTGGGACAAAGTCCCAGAGGAGCCTAGACCCCCAGAGCTTTGACCCAAGGGCTCCAGGAGACCTCCTCTGGGAGGAGACCTGAGCTGGGCTAGCCCCCTCACTTCTCTTTCTCCTGCCCTTGCAAGGATTGGTGTGTGGTGTGTGTGTATGTGTGTGTGTGTGTGCGCGCGCCTGCGTGCGTGTAAGCTCCAGGCCTAGGAGGACAGACGCCTACCCCCACCCAGACTGCTTTTGGGCTGCTTTCCTCTCAGGTCTCCTCGGGACTCCATTTGGACAGAGAGGCACCAGCCTGAGGTTCTGCTCTGTGTCCCCTGGCATTGTGACCTTGGCCTTCTCTGCCCTGCATAGCCTCCGTTTTCCAGTCTATAAAGGAGAGATGTTCTAGACTCTCCCACAAGGCAGTATCATTTGCCTCAAAATAACCCTACAAGGTGGGTGAGAACCACTCCCTCCCTACCCCCCCCGCCCCATTTTATGGAGGAGAAAACTGGCTCAGAACTGGAAGTGGTTCTTGCAAGGCCCCAGGTGGAGTGTAGGTCCCTGGCCCTTTGGGACAAGGACCCCAGGCCTCCTAACTCCTGAATCTGGGTGTTTCAACTTCCTGGGGCTGCCTGCGGGAAATCTGGCCCTGCATTAACTCCTACCTAACAGCTTCAGGCTGCTGTCCTGCTCCTCTGGACTCCCTCTGAGGCAACAACATCAGCCTCACCCCAAACAGGAGGAGAAAGGGCGATACTAACGCAGAACTTCCAGCCTGCAGAGGCCCTGCCTGCTCTGTGCCGAGCCCCAGCATCGGCACTGCCTGGCCTTGGCTTCTCCACTCAGCAAATGGGTAGAAGATCACCCCACAGGACTTTTCCCCTCCCTTCTTTCCTCAGAATCCCTCTTTCAGGGACGCCTGGGTGGCTCAGTCATTAAGCGTCTGCCTTCGGCTCAGGTCATGATCCCAGGGTCCTGGGATCGAGCCCCACATCGGGCTCCCTGCTCACAGCGGGGAGCCTGCTTCTCCCTCTCCCTCTGCTCCCCCTCCCCCAGCTCATGCTCTCTCTCTCAAATAAATAAAATCTTAAAAAAAGAAAAAAAGAATCCCTCTTTCACACCTGCCTGCTTCGGCCCACCCCCAACCCACCCCCAACCCACCCCATCAGCACTCTCTTCCCAGACCCTCCTCACCTTAAAATTTTTTTATAATTAATTACAGTGTAATATTAATTTCAGGTGTACAATCTAGTGAGTCAACACTTCGATACACAGCTGGTGCTCATCACAGCACACACGTTCCTTAATCCTCATCACATGTTTAACTCATTCCCCACCCACCTCCTCGCTGGTGACCTTCAGTTTGTTCTCTATAGTTAAGAGTCTGTTTCTTGGTTTGCCTTTCTCTCTTTCCCTTTGCTCAGTTGCTTCTTAAATGTGTTTCTGTTCCTTAAATTCCACATATGAGTGAAATCGTATGGTATTTGTCTTTCTCGGGCTGATTTCATTTAGCATAATACCCTCTAGCTCCATCCATGTTGTTGCGAATGGCAAGATTTTGTTCCTTTTGATGGCTGAGTATTATTCCACTGTATGTATATACCACATCTTCTTCATCCACTCATCAGTTGTTGGGCATCCAGGCTGCCTCCATATCTTGCAGCTACAATGCAGCAGTGAACACTGTTCTGCTGGTGGTGCATGTATCCTTTTGAATTCATGTTTCTGTTTTCTTCTTTCTGGCAGTGGAAAGACTGGATCTCAGAGGTTCTGTGGTTCTGCACAGCTGAATACCTAGAAGTGGAAATACTGGATCATATGGTACTTCTATTTTGTTTTTTGAGGAGACCACACTGTTTTCCAGAGCATTCAGGCCCTCTCCTTGACTAGCGACTATCCCACCATGTGTACAACACTTCATAGTTTGCCACAAAATTGAGCCCCATTTTTCAGATGAAGAAACTGAGGCTGAGAAAGATCGAGGGCCTTGAGCAAGTCTACACAGCTGCGAAGAGGTGGAACGAGGTCTTTGACGGCAAACCTGGTGCTCTTACCACACAGCACAATGTGCTGGCGCCGTGTCTGTGTGCTGGTTGTGAGAGCTGATCTTGAACCCAGGCCCTGAGTTTGAATCCCAGCTCTCCTACTTGGCTGTCCAACTTTGAACAAGTTGCTTCACCTCTCCTGTGGCTCAGTTTTCTCATTTGTAGAACTGGGTTAGTGACGATTAAATGCATTCATGCACCTCCTGTGCCTAGCCCGGGGGCTAGCATGCAGCAGGCGCTCCACAAACACTTGTCTCTTCCTTCTCTGTAGCCCTCACATGCTCCTGCCCTTCACAGTTTGTACACAGCTCCACACTCATCACCTCCCCTGATGAAAAGTCAGCCCCTTGAGGGCTGAACTTTCCCCACCAGAGGCAGCTGCATACAGTAGGTGCTCAATAAATGTGCACTGACGCTGACTAAGAAGCCAGTGCTGCTGTTATGTGGGGACTTTGGCAAATGGAAGAACTCGCATCTGGTTCACCCTAGGAGGCCTGGGGCGGGGCTGTGGTCAGCTGGTCTCCAGTGGCAATAAAGCCATTGATTCCACAACTTGTCCCTGTACCCACCCCCAGTCAGCAAGGCACCTGGTCCTTGTTAGGGGTTAATAACTGGCCAAGTGTGGGCCTAGGGTTGGGGGCACTTCTGGGAACACTGTGTTTGGAGGAAAAGAGCTTTCTTTTTAGGAATGAAAACAGAAGAGGTGGCTTCTGCTTCTTGAAGAATCAAGAACTTGGGTGAAGATTTCTACCCACCCCATCGCCCTCCCCTCCCTTCTCCTCCTTCCCTTCCCTCTCCTCATCTTCTCTCTCTCCCCAATCCCACCCCCCCATGCAGATTTACCCACCACTACCAGGAGCCCTTTGTCTGTGGAGCCTCCGGATGGAGTTCCCGCCCGCAGCCCGCAGCCCGCAGCCCGCAGCCTGCAGCCCGCAGCCAAGGTTCAAGTCAGGACTAGCTCGCAGTGCCCCTCTGCCTGCTGCCAGCGAGGGAGAGAGACAGGGGCCCGGGCAAATAGTGGCAACCAGCGCAGCAGTCGTAACCTGCGCTTGCTTCTCTGCTGGGGCTTCGCAGTTACAAAACCCGCACCTGGTCTCTTGACAACCCTGGGAATTGTGCGTGATGGGGGCTAGCCTTCCCTTTGCACTGATGAGGACACTGAGGCCCCAGTGGACACGGGCGCTGGGGCTCCGGCATACGCAGGTTGGCCTTTGTCCAGCCGGTACCCAGGGCCGGAACCCGGGTCGCGCTGAGTGACGTCATGCCAGCAGACTGGCAGAAAGTTGAGGCCCCATGTGGCCTTGGAGCTGCTCCCTGACCACCTCCTACTGTCTCAAGAGCAAAGGTTGTTGGACCTGGCAGTGCCTGCTCCTCATTTGTCTCATCCCTGGCCTCCTCCTGTGAAGGGCAGGAGCATGTGAGGGCTACAGAGAAGGAAGAGACAAGTGTTTGTGGAGCGCCTGCTGCATGCTAGCCCCTGGGCTAGGCACGGGAGGTGCATGCCCGCCTGGGTCCCTGAAGGCCGGGTCCCGAGCAGAGCGGACCAGGGCCTCCCTGGCATCCTCCCTGGCTCAGACCTTCTCCCTCTGCCTTCCAACCTTTGCCATGAAGTCCTCTGGCTTGGGCTGGCCAGCTGCCCTTGGTGGCCATCCCTGACTGCCCCTGCCTCCCTGGCCACATCTCACCCTCCTCCAGGAAGCCCTCCCAGTCCTTCCTGCTTTTCCACGGACTCCCTGGAATAATGATCCCTGAATACTCCTAGTGCCTCCCAGGGCAAGCCTAGCCAGGTCAGGAGGTGTGACACAATGTCTCCCCTGCCCCTCGACTAACTCCTTCTCAGCAAAGCATGGGGATAGCACTCGGAGCAGGGTTGAGGGAAACTCAGAATACACTTGAAGGATGAAGAAGGATTCAGAGTGTTCTGAAGCTTCAGGGACCTGTGGTATGTGCTGCCTCAGTTTCTCTAAGTGATCGGCCTCCGCGAGAACAAAACAACAGCGAACCCAGCATCACCCGCTTGCCAGCCCCCAGGGTTCAGCCGTGATGCTGGCCAGGCACGCCTGGTCCGTCTTACCCTGCACGCTTCCCGGACTCAGTGCCAGCTCTGGCAGCAGCTATGACTCGGTCCTGCCCCTGGCCCACGCCGGGCCCTCTGGGTGCCTCTGTGTTTTACACTCTGACCACATGGCCTCCACCCAGGGAGTCCGTGGCCAAAGCCAGCCTGCTGGTAAATGGCGGGTGCTTCTGCCCAAGATGGGGTGCTGTCTGCATTGGGGTGTACTCTAGCTGCCCAGGTCCTGCCCTTAGGAAATTGGCCTTCTGCCGTGAGGGACACAGAACCCAGGCCGCTACTGTGCAAGGGTCACAGGTTTTTGGCCCCAGTTCCATGGCCCTGTAGTCTCATGGCCAGGGGCTCCCAGGCCTGGGCTTCCAACCAGCGGCCTCTGCTAGGAGTGGTCTTGCTTCCTTTCCTGGCTGGAGGTGTCCGTGGGGCTCCTGTAAGTGCAGGCAGCCAGGCCCAGGAGGGGCGGAGGCAGCCATTCCCAACAATTACACAATTCGGGAGCTGAAAAGTTGTGTTTGCTGTCCCCAGGAGCCAGCCCTGGATGGGAGGTTAGTGGTGGGGCTTGGCGCTGATTGGGAGTGGGAGCGGGCTCTGTGCCACGTCCAAGCTGGATCGGGGAGACAGGGCTGAGGGGTGGTGTAGGACCCCCTCAGTCTCCGGTCCCCGGGGCAGGCCACACCATGTCCATAAAAGCCTGTGGCTTCAGTGGCTATGGGCAGCTGGCCGCAGCTGACGCCCCTGGGGTTGTGCTGTTTCTAAATATTGGTTCATGCTATTAACCCTGCTGTGCCCCG